TTGTGGACACCATTTACCATAAACACTATGCCCGTGTGATTTCCGAAAGCTGACATCCTTCAGGATACCATTACCACATCAGACGATATTCTCCGAGCACTGAAAGCTGATCTGACTCCTCCAGCACAAGACCGGCCTGGCCTGAAGTCAGCCCACACTGAAAGCCCTATCGATGACCGCTTGCACAATGTCACGCAAACGATAAACCTGAAAACAATGCCGGCCACGACAAGACTCCCAGCCAACCACAAAAACCTGGGAAACACAAGGTGCACCCATCTTTCACTGTCAATTCCGATTTTATTTACGCTCCGATACCGCCCTCTTAGCTTCAATAAAAGCTAAAAGAGAACGATTGCTACGATCTCGAGTTCCCAAGAGCTAATATTTGATTATGGAAAAGAACACTGTAAACGCCAAGCACGGTCCCGCACTGGTAGTGCAAACAATGGCGAATTCTCATTAACGTTTGTGGTTTGTGAAGTGGTTATAAACATTTCAAGGATTTTTGTGAGCCAGTTTGCTGTCTGCCTCAAATGTAGTTTGCTTGGTTAGTTTTTTCCTTAATTTCTGTGCCCACGGGTCATTATTCCCTTAACTCTCCTGTCCCAGCAGGTCATTAATTTTTTTTACTCTCCTGTCCCAGGGAGTGACTGATTTCTTAAACTCTCCCTCCCCAAAGCGTCAATAATTCCCTTGACTCTATGTCCCGGCGGGTCATTAATTTCCTTAACTCTACATTTCCAGTGGGTCATTAATTCCCCTTAATTTCACCCGTATAAGCAGGTCACTAATTTTCTTTAATCTCTTGCCCCAGCGGTTTATTAATTTCCGTAACTCCCCTGTCCCAGCGGGGTCGTTTTTTCCCCAACTCTCCATGATCCAGCGGGGTCCTTATTTGTCTTAATTCTCCTTTTAAATGGGTTTATTAATTTCCGTAACTTCCTTGATCCAGCTAGTCATTAATTTTCTTAACTCTCCTGTCACAGCGGGGTAATTAATTCCCTTAACTCTTCTGTCCCAGCGCTGTCATTAAAAGTAAAGGTAAAGTCGGGAGATGTGAACCAGTGTCACTTCACACGGTTTTAAACCATAAGTGCTCTGCAACCAGTACGAAAAGCTGATAAAAAAACTGTCGGCCTGTGTCGCCGTTCGCACTAAACTCCGTAGCTACAGCAACGTTCCTCCATTTGCCTCAGAGTGTTAACTCTTGTGCCCATTACGTAGAGGCTGGGTGAACTCCGGGAACCGTCTGGTTCCTGTGACGGCCCACTTGAACTTATGCGTCAGCCACCTGTGGGACAGCAGCATACAGTCTGAAGAACACTGGTCTACTACGTCCTCTTTATGACATGCAATTGTGGTCTGAAATATAAGTGTTTGGAAGGGCCGAATGTAAGACTGACCTGAGTGCCCAGTTTGTTTCTTCATTCGTTCGTTCGTTCTTATCTCTACTTCTTTTTATAAGTGCCATTCAGTTCTTGTAAGCCATGAAAACCACCCCTATCACAGAGATAGAAAGGATAGAGATACTGAACCACTCGAACTCAGAAGACAATACAGTATGAGTTTTTACAGTATGAGAAATTAAAAAGACTTCAACGTCACCCACTGCATTTTAAATTTAAAGAGAGAACAAAAAAAAAAAAAAAAAACAAGACTGGAGCGCCAGAGCCTCAACCACCTTGCCAGAGAACTGAACAGACAGCATCAAGATCTGCTTGAACGAGATGTTGCACTGTGCGAAAAACTTAGGCCAGAACCATGGACAAGCAAGCCAGAGAAAGCAAAAGTAGTCCTAAAGGTACCAGGAATCACCTCAAAGATGCCCAGACAGAGACACAACAGACAACCCTGGCTCGTGCTATGCTTGATGAGAAGTATCTAAACACCACTTGGACTCAGGTTTTCACCGACGGCTCTGCTACAGATGCAGTCAGAAAGGGGAGTTGTGGAAAATACATTAAACCCCCTAGCAGTAGAGCAGAAACTCTCTCTCTCTCTCTCTCTCTCTCTCTCTCTCTCTCTCTCTCTCTCTCTCTCTCTCTCTCTCTCTCTCTCCCAGCAGGTGACATCTGCACTAACTTCAGAGCTAAGACAACTGCCCTCCTCTCTGCAGTCCAACATCGCATCACTCAAGAACACCAAATTGTTATACTTAGTGACTCGTTGTCTCTTCTCCAAGCACTATCCAGCAAAAAACAAGACAAACTAATTGCAGATCTAAGGACCAACATTGGCTTACTCTCCAAGGAAGCAGAACTGGTCTTGCAGTGGAAAGCAGCCCACTGTGGTATTCAAGGAAATGAGAGAGCAGATGAGTTGGCAAAAGCTGGGAGTAATCTTCCACAACCTCATCCACCACACAGATACAAGGGAACAAAACAGCGATAAAGCAGTCTTTCAAGCAGGAGTGGAGAAGGCAGAATGCAGATTACAGACCAGAGAGTGACAGCATAAACAAACTCAACAGGAAAGAACAAATATTAAGTTTTAGACTTCGGACTGGACGCTGTGGTCTTCGAGCACACCTGTACAGGATAGGCATAAAAGAATCTGCTGCCTGTGATTGTGGAGCAGAAAGACAGACCCCTGGGCACATACTACAGTACTGCCCTTACCTCTCCCAGCAAAGACTGTGGATCTAGCACAATGGAGCCACATTGCAAGAGAAGCTATGGGGGACCGGTGGCGACCTTAAAAGCAAAATCCTATTTATGGCCCAGACGGAACTCAATATTTAGCATGACTGATGTCGAACGCAGAAGAAGAAGAAGTTCTTGTATATTTATTTATTAAATGTGTATTAAGTGTACCAAACAGCATTAGGCACTAGCAAGGAAATCAAAAGCTTGAGAGCGTGCATCTTCCTTGTAGCAACAAACGGATGTGAGTCGTTAACTATCTCCCAGTCCTTAAGAAAGAAATTATGGGCTTTTGAGCTAAAATACTACAGAAAGATTCTCAAATTATCATTGACAAACAAGAGAGAGAGAAAAAATACTGACATGTTAACATATCAAGCGTCATGGCGGATTGAAAAAATAACAGCAGAAGGAATGGTAACAGGAAGGAGGAACAGGGCCAACCAAGACGAACATGGGCAAAGGATATAAGTGACCCCCTGAATACGAAAGTACAAGAGGCGGGAGAGCTGGCGAGAGACCGAGTTTCTTTCAGGCAGACCGCGGTGAGAGCGACAACCTGTAAAGAACCTGGGTTCTTCATTATTATCCTACCCCAGATGAAGTCACAGAATAGTCCATTATTGTAGAGGGTAGTGTAAAACTGGATTTCCCAGCTTTCTGGTGCTTTTACATCTAGAACTGGCCCTAACCCCAACCAACCTACATCCCACGAGAGAGTGCAGCCTAGGTCCCACAAATGCATACAGCCTAGCTCCTACGACTTGCTCTATATACCACCACTGAAATTTTAGACTGTCCCGTGACCTGTGGATTTCCGCTGTTTGAGGTAAGATTTAATTAAAGCACCAGGACCTGCCACGAGAGGATGACGCAAGTGTAACAGAACAGGTTATTAAAAAAAAACACCCCTACAGTGCAAGTCATCTGTCTCTCTCTTGGTAATCCCCCTGTCCAAATCTCTTCCCCTGACACAAAACATCCCGTAAATCCCTGGCCTAATTGTCAGCGGTAATCCCTGACACAGACAGACGTCGATGCTACAGGAGCATCCATCACTATTGTGGACAACACAGTACGCAAAGTCGAGTTAAACAGTTACACTATCACCAACCTCATCATCATCACTAGTTGTTCAGAAGAAAATAATCGTCAAGTTTAAACAGCATACGCGAAGGGGGAGCTTAAGGTTATAATTGTGACCAGGTTATGTGCGCCATTTAACATGGTTTAGCACTGCACGCCAAACTGGGGAAGGGGGACTCAAGTAGTATTCATGCGATCTAAAGAGACAGACCGAAATACGGTCCCGAGCGGTGAGGAAGTCGTCTACCGGCGAGCAAAAGGGCGACTTTGTGGATACTAGTGGATATTCTTTACGCGCGAGGTTTTTTTCCCTTCTCTCCCCCCCCCCCCCCCCCCCCCCCTTTCTTTATTTTCACCTCATTCTGGGGACTCCAAGATTTTGTAGGAGATTCCCGAAAAAGTCCAATAGTATAGGGGTGTTACACGGCTGACTGCCCGATAAATGAGGAACCAATAGTCTGCATACAATTATGCCAGATATGCAAAATACAGGTTTTGAAACAAGACCAAAGACCAGAAGTGGATGAACAATCTGAACTTTTCGGCAGAGTAAACAGTCGGTAAACACTAAGCAGAAGGAGAAGAAGGGGAGAAGGAGAAGAAGGGGAGAAGGAGAAGAAGGGGAGGAGGAGGAAGAGGAGGAGGAAAGAAAGAAAGAAAGAAAGAAAGAAAGAAAGAAAGAAAGAAAGAAAGAAAGAAAAGAAAAGAAAGAAAGAAAGAAAGAAAGAAAAAAGAAAGAAAGAAAGAAAGAAAGAAAGAAGAAAAGAAAGAAAGAAAAGAAAGAAAGAAAGAAAGAAAGAAAGAAAGAAAGAAAGAAAGAAAGAAAGAAAGAAAGAAAGAAAGAAAGAAAGAAAGAAAGAAAGAAAGAAAGAAAGAAAGAAAGAAGATTAAGAAGAAGATTAGGAAGAAGAAGAAGAAGAAGAAGAAGAAGAAGAAGAAGAAGAAGAAGAAGAAGAAGAAGAAGAAGAAGAAGAAGAAGAAGAAGAAGAAGAAGAAGAAGAAGAAGAAGAAGAAGAAGAAGAAGCTTGCTGATTGACAGCTCAGGAAAACGCTCTCCAAGATATACTCCACTCGTGGATGTCTTTCCAGTCTACGGAAAAACACACACAACACACATAGAGACGAGGACATCATGCATGGGTTCAAACCATCGCCAGCCAAACCTTCAGCAGGACACAGTTACACATTGGGCGACTGATTTGATCTTTCTTACCCACTTTTTCTCTTCCCTATAATTTTCTACTCCCTTAAAAACGAGCTACTACTGACCTGTTCTGGAGGAAGTCCCGGAGGCACCCAGGCAAACTCCTCCAAAGGGCATCCGCTGTCGTCATCAGAAGTTGAGTTCCGCTTGGGGTCACGTGATATACGGACGGCCCCTTTGGTCCCGAAAGTGCTGTCCCCGTCGGCACCAACAGATAGGTCATGCACCTCTGGTGGGCATTTGCAGTGACGGCAAATTTTCCTGAAACAGAGAGACAAGGATGATTTACACCGTCATTATACGAATCAACTTGGCAACCGCTTCGTGTACAGGTTAGATAAACGACTGTGGATCGGAAGATCGTGGGTTCAAATCTGGGCAATGCTGGATTTTTCGTTCTTTCAAAAATGACCTTTCGGGGTTCAAAAGGAAGAGGAAGAAGACCTTGGCGTCAGGTCGACCCAACCTTAAACGGGTACTAAGTGATGGGAAATAAAGGCGAGCGGCATGCTGTTGACCATTTAATCCACCAAGTGCCGGTTGGTCTATAAAATATAGTTAAGTTAAGGACCCTTTTTCCACGCCTTTAGGCGTATAGGGCATATAGGGCTAGACCTATATCTGTATAGACCAATCGGCACAAGATGGGTGATGTGGTCAGCATCACGCCGGCCGCCTTTACTTTCCCGGTATAAAATATAGACCTCGCCCTATATGTCTAATACGCCTGAGGGCGTGAGAATGTGGATCGAGGCGCCGACACAAAGAATACACTGGTGGGTGGGGGGGGAGGGGCTGGGGTTTAGTTTTCTTTCTCAATGTTGATGATTTCAAGTAAAGAGTCCCTTTCCACGCTTCCGGCGTATTGGGTATATAGGGCTAGACCTGTATTTTATAACCAATCGGCAGTGGGCGATACGGTCAACATCAAGCCGGTCGCCTTTACTTCCCATGACTATACCTGGTACCCACTTAAGACTGAATCGACATGGCAGTCAATGTCATTTTTTTAGAGAAAAGAAAAAGTCCGGCTTCGTCATGACGGTCGCCCTCTGTAGCTTAGGCAATGCGAACTCGCTTCGCAATTCTGGGTTGCTGGGTTCGATCCCAGCTGCGGGCCTTGCGTCTTGCGTTGGTTTCGACAATGGTATCGAAAAGCCGACCGTCAAGAAAGCAATCGCAAACTACTGGACGTAAATTTGACTCGAAAAACCACAACAGCCCATAAAAAGGTTGGAGTTGGTTCTGCCAAGACCGGCTCCAGCTGACGGGTTGTGCTGCTGACGTCACTAACCCGGGCTAACTGTACGTTAACACTGCGGCTCTCAAACTGTTATCTTCATGCAAAAAAAAAAAAACTGTTTAAAAATGTCGCGGCACACTTATCCTTAAAGCCGTTTGAATACTTAAGAAAAGAAAGGAGAAAAACAGTGCAGAGTTAATGTCAATCAGGTGTGGAAAATTCTTGATTACTACCGCAGCACCAATGACATACGTCCGCGGCACCCAATTTGAGTATCGCTGCGTTAACGTATTGTTAGCCCGGTTTGGTGACGTCGGCAGCATTACCCGTTAGCTGGAGTCGGTCTTGGTTTTGCAACGTCCTATAAGGATACGCAGCTAAATAATTGTCAAGACCAGCTCCCACGATTTTAGATGAGATGATTATGATGTACAACAAGAGTAAATAAAGCAAATAGCAATGCACGCCAAACAAGGGGATTCCAGGGTTACAGTGAAATTTTCTAAAAGCGCCCTGAGTATGGATTATCGTTTTACGTTTGTTACTCTTTCTTCACTGCCTCGTCTCCGAACACTACTGGTGCCATGTTTGGCTGCTGCTGATTTCAATCAATAATCATTGCACCCAGGGAAAGATATATAACCGAACGAAAAGTAGATCAGGAAAAGATATAAAACTGAAAGAAAGGTATACCCGGGAAAGATACTGCACCCAGAGGCACATAAGGCATATACAGACTATTGCCACTCAATTCAATTTTGAGCCATCCCCTCTCTCTCTCTCTCTCTCTCTCTCTCTCTCTCTCTCTCTCTCTCTCTCTCTCTCTCTCTCTCTCTCTCTCTCTCTCGTTTTTTTCCCGTTGCGTAGCCTTGAGGCCCGCCCTATAAAGTTCGCCTTCAAGTGGCTCTGGGCCTGCCTTTTCATTGCTGTCCTTGTAGTGTCTGTCCATTGCATTACCTGTCTTGGTCATCTCTCTTTCTTCATGCCGAGAACGTGTCTTATCCGTCTCCATCTTCGTTTTCTAACTTTAAATCTTATAAGTCTGTGATTTGTTGAAATCTAGAATTGCTGATTTTATCTTCCAGTGTGAACCCCAACAATCTCCAACGAAATCTTTCACCAAATCCTCTGAGCAAGCTCTCTATCTTTCTGTCTGTTTTCCAAGTTTCGGCTCCGTTGAGGTGAACTGTCCTAGTGCATGTTCTGTATATCCTGAGTTTGGTTTTAGTGCTGTAGATGTCTGTTCTCCAGACACTCTCAAGTCTCTTGTAGGCTGCTATTTAAACAAATTCTCTGCTTGAATACATAGTACTTCTTCTTCTTCTCTGTTCACCGGCTCTGAGCTCAGACGGAAAATCCTGGCTGTTCGTCCATTTGGACTTTGGCTTTGTACCAGGGCCTGAGTTTTGCTTGTACATCCGTTTTACTGGCTTATGCGTGTGCAGCTGGTTGTTCCTTTACGCTCGAAGGAAGCTCTCAATGAGTCGGCTCCGACGACATGCCTTTTGAGGCGGCAAAGGGTCTATTCTTGTTTTCCCGGAACCCACACGGGGAGCATCTACAGTACAACCATGCAAGTTGTAAAATCTGTGGCAGTATGTTGTCCGACAGGTCTTCGACTAGCCTATCTGTATGTTGTCAGACAGGTCTTCGACTAGCCTATCTGTATGTTGTCAGACAGGTCTTCGACTAGCCTATCTGTATGTTGTCAGACAGGTCTTCGACTAGACTATCTGTATGTTGTCAGACAGGTCTTCGACTAGCCTATCTGTATGTTGTCCGACAGGTCTTCGACCAGCCTATCTGTATGTTGTCCGACAGGTCTTCGACCAGCCTATCTGTATGTTGTCCGACAGGTCTTCGACTAGCCTATCTGTATGTTGTTCGACAGGTCTTCGACCAGTCTATATGTATGTTGTCCGACAGGTCTTCGACCAGCCTATCTGTAAGTTGTCCGACAGGTCTTTGTCCAGCCTATCTGTATGTTGTCCGACAGGTCTTCTATCACATTTCCACAGCGAAAGCCACCCATCCCACATCCAGCAGCCTGGAGACTCGCTAACAATAGAAACTTGAATCACTAAAGGTTAAGAGAAAAAGTAGGGTGGAGGGGAGCATTAGAAAGTCATCTAAAGCAGTGTTCTTCACATTGTTTACACCATTTACAGCAAGAAGATCAGAAGACAACATCTGTCTACTTGTGATGAACGCTGGCAGCGGGGAGGCCGACAGCATGGTTTTCCAGTCTGACTCTAGTGTAGGTTATATCACATACAGACAGACTGAACAATACCCTGACATTAAAGTGTCTCATATCCACAGACTGAACAATACCCTGACATTAAAGTGTCTCATATCCACAGACTGAACAATACCCTGACATTAAAGTGTCTCATATCCACAGACTGAACAATACCCAGACATTAAAGTGTCTCATATCCACAGACTGAACAATACCCTGACATTAAAGTGTCTCATATCCACAGACTGAACAATACCCTGACATTAAAGTGTCTCATATCCACAGACTGAACAATACCCTGACATTAAAGTGTCTCATATCCACAGACTGAACAATACCCTGACATTAAAGTGTCTCATATCCACAGACTGAACAATACCCAGACATTAAAGTGTCTCACATCCACAGACTGAACAATACCCTGACATTAAAGTGTCTCATATCCACAGACTGAACAATACCCTGACATTAAAGTGTCTCATATCCACAGACTGAACAATACCCTGACATTAAAGTGTCTCATATCCACAGACTGAACAATACCCAGACATTAAAGTGTCTCATATCCACAGACTGAACAATACCCAGACATTAAAGTGTCTCATATCCACAGACAGACGTGAATAATAATACACAGACAGTAAAACGAATTACAACTACACACAGACAGACAAACAAGAATAACTATACATAGATAGTAAATTGCCTCACCTCAATAGACTAAAAGAAAGACAATAAAGTGGCTCACATCCGGAGACAGACAGACAATTAAGTGGCTAAACTCATTTTACTAACAAACAGACAGACAATAAAGTGGCTTATATTCATATAGAGAGACAGAAAATGAAGTGGCTTACTTCAACAGACAGATAGACAGACAATAACGTGGCTCACCTCCACAGACAGACGGGAAGAGCAATCTCCAGGTAATCACAGTAATAGATTGCCAGGTTCATTAGGACCCCAGTTCACACAGACAGTTTGTATCTCTAACAAAGATCAATCGTAGGTTGCTCGGCATTCCGTCAGCCACTCGAGGTTCCTCAACAATCTCTAGATTTACCAAACTCTATCTAAACTGGCCACAGTAAACAACAGACTTTCTATTCAGCCCCAGTATTTTTACAAGTTACTTTTGGCTATCATACATATAAATATTATAAAACCAGACAATGTATTGATTCACACTCATAGAAAGAAGTAGAAAGAAGAAGGACACGCTAGACAAGATAAAAATCCAAGTTTATAGTTTCCGTGCCGGGATTCGAACCCGTCACCTAAAAATGGCGTGTGCGCCTCGCTATGTAAACACATATACCAAGAATATGACCAACCAGACCCTTGTTTCTCTCTTTTAAAAAGATGTCTTCACTGGCCATGTCTGTCGTACAGCCTAAAATCGACAACTATGGAATACGGACAGAATTCATCTCAAACCATTAAAGCGTTAAATATAGCTTTCGATTTTGATGTTGTCTAGTGTGTCCTTCTATCTATCTACTTCTATCTAAGTAGGCCAAAAGCAATCAGCTCCAAATTTCTTATACTGTTCATGAGCTGGGATTGGGTTTAAAGGAAGAGCTCGTCAGTTGGTCATTTTGGTTACGCCTACGCTGAGATTTAGAGGTGTCGAGTGGTCATGCGTATTAGTACACTTACGTCTGCAGCGAGGCGTCTTCGTCACTTGAAGGTGACATGTTTGATTTCTGGCATAGTAACTGTAGCATTCTGTTTTTATGTTGTCTAGTGTGCCCTCTTATGTCTCAAATTCTTTCT